CCCCCAGAAATAACCATTAATGCCCCCACTCCGAAATTACCGGCGGTTAGACGTTGTCTATTTCAGGTGCTGTTATTAATCATATTAACTATGCACATGCATATACAAATTTCGAGAGCACTGTTCATCAGTCCTATATACAGTACCTGCTGGACTTTGTCCAAATCCAGTTGCAGTCGTTCATGTTCTATAAAGAACAATAATTGAGTAACGACAAATAATAATAGTTGAAATAAAGATGAGGGGAAAATTTCCGTATTTCTAGGCATCTCACCCAGTATAAGTCACAAGCGGTGGATGGTGCAGCTATCCGGCCTTCGTACAACTTTCCCCAGAATTGTACATGTAACTCTTCCCATCAGCCCCTTCGCCTTTCTCTCGCCACTACAATGCTTCATGTAAACTCGTCATATGCGCATCGCTATTTTTTTACAAAGAGACGCCTGGGTACGAGGCAGTGTGCATAATGTGTTCATATTTAATCCTTAATATATAGAGCGTTGATAAATATAGAAAATACAGCATACCTGACTGTAACGAATGTGACGTATTTTGAGATCTCTGCATTTCATTTTCTTTGAAGTTTAAATCAGCCTAGAAATAAAACCAACAAATACGAAGTGTACGTATGAAGTTCGTTGCTGATTGAGAAACAACTATAAGATGAGAAACTTGCATTATACCTGCATTTGTTTCAGCTCGCCAACACTTGGCAAATGTTTAGAACGGATCATCCTCTGTGGGGAAAAATTATAGTATAGTTACATCAAGATTAAGTATAGTTTAGCGTTAATTTAAATTAAAACACAAAATGTATATTTATTAAAATATTGGCAATAATTGCAAAAGTGCAGTGGCTCAAAATATCCAGGCATGAAAAGTTTATCTTGACCTAACATTAACTGTAAAATAATGAGAAACTTTACCCTGCTCATGTGTTCCAGAATTGACATGATATTTCCTTCTAGCTGTGACGTGCGTTCCTAAATATTACAATGGTTCTAACAATCAATTAAACATGTGGATATAATCACACTCAATAATGCATATAAGATGCATGATAATGCATACTGATATATCACAATAAAATGTTTCAATCACTAGTCCCTCGAACGAATTTAGTATTCTAAAAATATCGAGATTTTGTTGGCATCTTACTCGATTCAATAATAGTTGAAGGGTCTTGTAGATGGAAATTATCGAGTGGAAATTTATATACATTTATCAGGGTTTTTTTCAGGATTTTCTCTTGGGTCCGTTTTTGCAGAGAAGATTGAGTTTAGCTGAACAGCTGGGGTGGCTGCACCCTAAATCCCCCCCCCCCCTACCGGGGGCCTGTCACCTGTACTCGATAAATGTAGCTGAGATGGAATGTGTTAAAGCAGGGGCACTAAGGGACACTACAAAACAGGTTAAAGATGGCGAATGCATAGTTTTTGTTGTGATGTGAGATGAATTCCAGCCATTTTTTCTTAATTGTCGGGTTTCCAACTGAAAACGAATTTCCACACGTCACGAATTTAACTCAAACAACTTCATTTTTACTGCACTGAAACTTTGGTGAGAAGATTGAGTTTCAAAACTCAATTCAAGATTAAGTTTTTGGGGCTGTTTATTGTCGTTCCAATTGAAGTGTTGCTCAAATATTGATTCAATACATTACCTCGGGCTGACCAATTCATTTGATGAAGTTCCTCGAGATATTCATACACTTCCTGTGAAAGAGCCAATTCCAAGTATTTGATCATTTCTGGTCACTTCCTTTCTATTTATGATTGGTTAGTTGTACAAACAACAAAGGTGATTGGTGCATTCAAACTATTCAACAGGAAGTTTACAATTATACTAGGAAGTGTATGAATATCTCGAGGAACTTGATGAAATGAATTGGTCAGCCCGAGGTAATGTATTGAATCAATATTTGAGCAACACTTCAATTGGAACGACAATAACGGCCCTAAAAAATCCCTGAAAAAACCCTGAATTTATATGATTTATTTGACCTAACCTGGAACAGTTGCGAATTACAGGTCCCTGGCAGGAATCGAACCTGCGATGCAGCGCTCTAATCAACTGAGCTACAGAGGACAGTTGTCGAGCTCTAATCAACTGAGCTACAGAGGCCAGTTGTCGAGCTCTAACCAACTGAGCTACAGAGGACAGTTGTCGAGCTCTAATCAACTGAGCTACAGAGGACAGTGGTCGAGCTCTAGTCAACTGAGCTACAGAGAGACAGTTGTCAAGCTCTAATCAACTGAGCTACAGAGGCCAGTTGTCGAGCTCTAACCAACTGAGCAACAGAGGACAGTTGTCGAGCTCTAGTCAACTGAGCTACAGAGGCCAGTTGTCGAGCTCTAATCAACTGAGCTACAGAGGACAGTTGTCAAGCTCTAATCAACTGAGCTACAGAGGACAGTTGTCGAGCTCTAACCAACTGAGCTACAGAGGACAGTTGTCGAGCTCTAATCAACTGAGCTACAGAGGACAGTTGTCGAGCTCTAATCAACTGAGCTACAGAGGACAGTTGTCAAGCTCTAATCAACTGAGCTACAGAGGCCAGTTGTCGAGCTCTAATCAACTGAGCTACAGAGGACAGTTGTCGAGCTCTAATCAACTGAGCTACAGAGGCCAGTTGTCGAGCTCTAATCAACTGAGCTACAGAGAGACAGTTGTCGAGCTCTAATCAACTGAGCTACAGAGAGACAGTTGTCGAGCTCTAATCAACTGAGCTACAGAGGCCAGTTGTCGAGCTCTAATCAACTGAGCTACAGAGGACAGTTGTCGAGCTCTAATCAACTGAGCTACAGAGGCCAGTTGTCGAGCTCTAACCAACTGAGCTACAGAGAGACAGTTGTCGAGCTCTAACCAACTGAGCTACAGAGAGACAGTTGTCGAGCTCTAACCAACTGAACTACAGAGAGACGGTTGTCGAGCTCTAACCAACTGAACTACAGAGAGACAGTTGTTGAGTTCTAACCAACTGAGCTACAGAGATACGGTTGTCGAGCTCTGAGCTACAGAGAGACAGTTGTCGAGCTCTAACCAACTGAGCTACAGAGAGACAGTTGTCGAGCTCTAACCAACTGAGCTACAGAGAGACAGTTGTCGAGCTCTAACCAACTGAGCTACAGAGAGACAGTTGTCGAGCTCTGACCAACTGAGCTACAGAGAGACAGTTGTCGAGCTCTAACCAACTG